TGATCTTTCTTAAATTTCATATGCTGGTTCCCCTTGGTCATTAGTTGTGCCTGTTTGATTTTGGGTCTGATCAGAAAAATAAAATGGCTGACAGACAGACAGCTTGGATTTTGACTTTGAAAGTTGTTATCATTTTTTCTTGAGAATTGCTGTATGGATCTTTCTCAAATTTCATATATAGGTTCTTTTTGGACCCCAATTGTGCATTGCACATCTAATTGTGGAACAGATCAGAAATACAAAACGGCTGACTGGTGGCCATCTTGGTTTTTGACTTTGACAGTTTGTTATCAATATTTCTTGAGAACGACTCAATAGATCTTTCTCAAATTTTAAATATAGGTTCATTTTGGTACCTAGCTGTGCCTGTTTGAGCTTGGGACTGATGAAAAGAAACAAAATGGCTTCCAGGTGGCCATTTTGGATTTGGTACGTAAAGATTATAATTGCTGTTTCTGAAAAGGAATGTTCAAATGTCTTATCATTAAGAGCAAAAACTGAGAATAAAAGAGAAAAGAAGGGAAAAGATCCAACTTTCAAAGAGCATATAAAGATCAGACAATAGTGGGCGCCAAGATCCCTCTGGGATATCTCGTTTATGTATTTTGAATGATCAGAATAATTTTTAAAATACATCAATTAGATAAGGAATTATTTGTGCTTAATTCACTCGCAAACATTATTAAATGTTTGACTGATGATTTTGATAATTTGTTATATCAACAAACTTTGGTTAACGTAATGATTACTTCATTGTAAGAAAGGGTGTGGGTTATATACCAATGTGACTTATAACCTGGAAAATATGATGAAGATTTTCTTTTCTTAATTTATATAGAAAATATTCGGTAAATGAAAAAATATCATAAATTATAAATTATAAGTATTAAAATATTATGTATATTATTATATGGTAATATCTAGAAGCATAATAAGCTTTACTTTACATTACAAAAATAAGAATCCTGTTGCACTTTTAGTTTTTGAAGGGCAACTGTCTCATTAGGTTTATTACTAGATAGGTCAATTTCGTAAATTGAACAGTTTAACATAAAGCTGGTATGATTATCAAAGATCTCAATTTTAATATCAAAATAGACTTCACCAATTTTATGATGATTTGTTTGTTGTATAATGTGAGCAAGGAGATTTAAGTGGAAATTGTTTCTCTGGATGTTAATTCAGACTAAAATGTTGGAGCAACATGATGTTTTATTTATTTTTGCTTTTTTGCTGTACTCCTTTGTTGCTATTGATTTCCGTTTTCACTTTCTGTGTATTAGCATGGATACTCAGTTTTGCAGCTACTTTCATTGAATTTACAGCTAGTATGGTGATGTAGTGATGATTTCTCTACACTTGTGTGTTAGTATATCTCAAGAAGGCAACAGTTTTGTTTTTCTATCGACAGAAAGAAACATTTCAGATAATGCTGTATTCCCTTTCATATGTTGTACAGGTCAGTAGTCATTTGTTCAACCTTTCTTCCCGATTTTGCTTTCCCTTGAGGGAAGGGCTTTTGAGTGGATGGGATAAAATGGACAAGCAGGAAAGTTGTTTTATAATTGGTCAGAGATTAAGGGAGTTGGAAGGGTTGAGTGTAGTGTGTAATCTGAAGGAAAACTCTATCATATTACAGTTGTTAGCTATTTCCTTATCCGCAGCAATCAAATAAACCTTTATGATATTTTCATATATCCTACCGCAACAGCTTTGTGTGAAATGCAATAGATTTAGATGTTCCTTTGAAGATTTTTTCCCCCATGTAAATGTATATTGGTAAAAGGCATAAATAACTTCATTCTTGTTCTAATATTGAAAATGAAGTATATTTAAAACAATCAAATCAAGACGTTGGGCTTCTTTAAAATTCTGATTCAATAGTCAGCAACCCAGTCTTCTTCACAAGAAGGCTTGATTTGTGCATTAAAGCTGAATCTAGATCAAACATTGATAGATTATGAATTCTTGGATGTGTTCGGTTCTAGTGTTTTTCAGAGTAATAAGTTAAAAGAAAAAAACACCATTCACAGCATCAGTTAAGATAATTTAATTCAAAATAATCTTCTTTCAAGAAATTGTTTCTTTGAAGCCACAATTGATAAGTAATAATTAGAAAGACAAGTTAGATGCTCACTTTACGACAGATGGATGGTACTTTTGTGGGAGGCAAAATCACATTGACTTAAGTAATAGGTCTTAGTAAAGAATGATGCTGGAAATAGTAAAATCACTTTTCATTCGATAAATATTTCATTCACAGTGGTCTGCTTTTACTGCGCATGGTTTGAAAATAGATCCAAATCATTTGGTTTCATTGATAAATCCCAAATAATTGAAAGCACAAATATTTGACAATTCCTCAACAGTTTCCAAAATCCTTAGCCCAGAAAATTAAATATTCCGAACATGGTGGTTGATTTTGCTTTCTAGTGAAACAGAGAACCACTAAATCTTTACAACACTGGTGAAGGTGCTCCACTAGAAAATGGTGTTTTAAGGATGTCGCAGACTTCCTGTACATCTTCAATTTCACTTCCGTAACCTTCCTTGAGTAGTTCCCCATTTCTTTTTGTAATCGTGTTGTTAAATTTTCCATTTTCATATTTGATTTTGTGGATGGGTGTGGTAGTTTTTGAGGTTTGAGGTGAATATTTTGACAACAAAGTGGTATGTGTAGCGTTAGATGCACAAGTAAGGTCAGTCATTTCGAGTTGTGGGTTCTTTTTACCCCGTAGCACGCGGTACTTGCTGTTACCAAGTGTCATGGATGCAAGCACAGTGGATTGTGGGTAAGTAAACGCGTTGAAATCCTCACTTCTAAGGCATCTCTGACAAAAGGTCTTCATAAACGTACGACGAAACTTCTGGCCAAATGCACAATACAGAATAAAATTGATGGCACTGTTGAAAGTAACCATGAAGTTTCTGAATGTCGATAAAACTTTCCAGCCGAATAAACTTTGAACACTTTCCATGTCGACTGCGTATGCTACATTGTAGACTAGGGCTGGAACTTGACAAATTATAAACACAATCACCACCGAAACCAGCATGATGGTCACATTGTTCTCACGATGTTGCCGCACGTTCATGTCAATGCGTTGTTTTTTTGATTGCTTGACAGCCAAGACAAGGAAGGTGTTGATTACAGCAAGGGCCAGCAAGGGTATGAAAAACATCACGAAAAGATAAAGTCCGAAGAAATAGACTTTATGGTAAATCTTGTTGCCACCAAACTCTGTACTATTATGGATAATGATTGTGGCATTAGTAGCATTATCCTTGTCATAGTCAATACGATAGTCAAACCAGCGGCTCAGGTTGAACAGGAACGAAGTGATTGATACAAATATTATAACCATACGGGCACGAGCAATAGTACACATTTGTGCAGCCTTGAGTGGGTGGCATACTGCAATGTATCGCTCCACTGTAAAGGACACCGTGAGCCACAGGGTGGCCGTTTGTGCCACCAATGCAAATGGGTATATGTACACTGCAACATATGCAAAGGCGTGGTGCCGAAAGGACTCGGAGAGTTGAGGAATGGTGATGAGAATTAAGGTACCAATCAGCACAAATCCATCCCAGATAGCGAGTGCTGTGAGGTAGCAATTTGTGGATGAACGCATTGTCCGGCGTGTGAGCACAATTACAGTGAGGGTATTTCCAACAAGGCCGAGGGCAATGATTACGATTGCCATGATTCCGTTCATGAAGCGCTCGATGTGCAGTGGGTCAAGGCTGTTGGAGAGGGGTATTTCCTTAGGTGGCATGTCGAAGCCATTCGTGTTCATGTCACTGTGATTAGTACTGTAATCCATACTTGTGGCTAATGATATGTTGATATTTAACATTGTCGTGACAACCGGCATAACTTCAACATCAGTCTCGATTTCTTGCATTTGCATATGAAATAAAATCTCTATTCACTCATCAGACAGTATATCTTGTCATTACAATTGAAAATTGAGTGGGTCGATTTTCTAGGTGGGCGTTCAGCGATGAAAATGAATCAGATGTGTGATGCGTGGGAGCAGAGAGGCTGCATGTTTGATCTGGAAATAGAACAGAAGAAAGTCAATGTAGGATCCAAGCACAAACGTATATATAATGTAGATTAAATTATGATGCATATTATCCATGACACTGATTACAGATATTCAATGTAACAACTGCGAGTGTGGGAGTTAGATATTTGACATTATACGGGATCCGCAAATCGACCAGTGGAACAAACAAGGGACAAGACATGATGCTTAGAAATTAACGTAAATTCCTTATCTCGTCTCAATACACCGTAATAAATCTCATTGCATTTTTGCATAATAATGGAACATGCTCAGGGATAAAATTGAAAGATCCAGACTTGAAAATACTGAGGGAAAGGACATCGATTTTGAGTTATAAAGAATCTTTGTTTATGACTAGGGTAAAAATTCTGAGTTTGAAAGAAGATAATTTTGTTGAATAATAAAAGAGACTTGAGGAATGTAATTTGTGAAATAATATTCTCAATCTGTAGTGATTAATCAAGGAGATTTCCTTGCATATCTTTATGCTATTTTTGTGATTGGTATTAAATTTTCAGTTTCGAATCTTCCAACAATATGCATTGAATTAATTGAATTTGTGAATAAAGTGTGAGCATTTTGCTGATTTGCTACGACAATGAAATCATGTGATTCTATGGTTGTCAGTATAGGCAGGTTGATACGATTTAACTTTCAGATTAGACAAGTGAGAAGAGTGTTTGACATTTGATTTGGTATATACAGGTTGACAGATTATAGACAGGTAAGTTTGACAATTGATCTGATGTTTACAGGTTGACAGATTATAGACAGGTAAGTTTGACAATTGATCTGATGTTTACAGGTTGACAGATTATAGACAGGTAAGTTTGACAATTGATCTGATGTTTACAGGTTGACAGATTATAGACATATAACTCTTGACAACTGGTCTGATGTTTACAGATTGACAGATTATAGACAGGTAAGTTTGACAATTGATCTGATGTTTACAGGTTGACAGATTATAGACATATAACTCTTGACAACTGGTCTGATGTTTACAGGTTGACAGATTATAGACAGGTAAGTTTGACAATTGATCTGATGTTTACAGGTTGACAGATTATAGACAGGTAAGTTTGACAATTGATCTGATGTTTACAGGTTGACAGATTATAGACATATAACTCTTGACAACTGGTCTGATGTTTACAGGTTGACAGATTATAGACAGGTAAGTTTGACAATTGATCTGATGTTTACAGGTTGACAGATTATAGACAGGTAACTCTTGACAATTGATCTGATGTTTACAGGTTGACAGATTATAGACAGGTAACTCTTGACAATTGATCTGATGTTTACAGGTTGACAGATTATAGACAGGTAACTCTTGACAATTGATCTGATGTTTACAGGTTGACAGATTATAGACAGGTAACTCTTGACAATTGATCTGATGTTTACAGGTTGACAGATTATAGACAGATAACTCTTGACAATTGATCTGATGTTTACAGGTTAACAGATTATAGACAGGTAACTCTTGACAATTGATCTGATGTTTACAGGTTGACAGATTATAGACAGATAACTCTTGACAATTGATCTGATGTTTACAGGTTGACAGATTATAGACAGGTAACTCTTGACAATTGATCTGATGTTTACAGGTTGACAGATTATAGACAGATAACTCTTGACAATTGATCTGATGTTTACAGGTTGACAGATTATAGACAGGTAACTCTTGACAATTGATCTGATGTTTACAGGTTGACAGATTATAGACAGGTAACTCTTGACAATTGATCTGATGTTTACAGGTTGACAGATTATAGACACTCTTGACAATTGATCTAACAGGTTGACAGATTTGACAAGTTTGACAATTGATCTGATGTTTACAGGTTGACAGATTATAGACAGATAATCTGATGTTTACAGGTTGACAGATTATAGACAGGTGATGTTTACAGGTTTTGACAATTGATCTGATGTTTACAGGTTGACAGATTATAGACAGATAACTCTTGACAATTGATCAGATGTTTACAGGTTGACAGATTATAGACAGGTAAGTTTGACAATTGATCTGATGTTTACAGGTTGACAGATTATAGACAGATAACTCTTGACAATTGATCTGATGTTTACAGGTTGACAGATTATAGACAGGTAACTCTTGACAATTGATCTGATGTTTACAGGTTGACAGATTTGACAATTGATCTGATGTTTACAGGTTGACAGATTATAGACAGATAACTCTTGACAATTGATCTGATGTTTACAGGTTGACAGATTATAGACAGGTAACTCTTGACAATTGATCTGATGTTTACAGGTTAACAGATTATAGACATATAACTCTTGACAATTGATCTGATGTTTACAGGTTGACAGATTATAGACAGGTAACTCTTGACAATTGATCTGATGTTTACAGGTTGACAGATTATAGACAGATAACTCTTGACAATTGATCTGATGTTTACAGGTTGACAGATTATAGACAGGTAACTCTTGACAATTGATCTGATGTTTACAGGTTGACAGATTATAGACAGATAACTCTTGACAATTGATCTGATGTTTACAGGTTGACAGATTATAGACAGGTAACTCTTGACAATTGATCTGATGTTTACAGGTTAACAGATTATAGACAGGTAACTCTTGACAATTGATCTGATGTTTACAGGTTGACAGATTATAGACAGGTAAGTTTGACAATTGATCTGATGTTTACAGGTTGACAGATTATAGACAGATAACTCTTGACAATTGATCTGATGTTTACAGGTTAACAGATTATAGACAGGTAAGTTTGACAATTGATCTGATGTTTACAGGTTAGACAGGTAAATCTGACAATTGATATCTGTTGTATGTACAAGTTGTCAGATTACTGATGAAAGTTAATCTCATATTCTACGTCAGATCATAATGGGTTCTCTAGCTTGTTGGTAAAACCAGAAATAAATATACTTACTTCTGATTGAACACTCTCAATACAATATCAAAATGAAAATGTTTTATGCTGGTTTGCATCAGAAATGAGAGCATTCACTTTGATGTCTGAATATATACATTGAAGGAAATGATATTGTACACAGGCACTCTAGGTAACAGGTGGATATATGTGTCTGTTGCTATGGTAAGACATTAATATTGTTATCAGATATTCTAATCCACGACATAAAAAATATTCACTCTATCTTTGTTTTATTCTCAAAACATAACAATCGCCTGATCAATGTCAATGATGTGTCATAAATGAAATCTGAGGTGCCCTTACTGTTATGTAAACAGTTAAAAAACGATGGAAACATTATGCAACCCATTGTACAGGTGTGAAAAATTAGGAAATATTTCATTAACATTTCTGAAATTATTGGAACTAAATGAGCCATTTCCATTAGCTTTAGAAATGAAATAGAATTAAGATTTCAAATGTTTGTATTAGTTGCCTGGACGTGGACAAAATCTTTTTCAAACAAATCAGTTTGACAATTTATTTTAAGTAGATCTGTCAACAATTTTAATTCATTAGTGTTTAAGGTCGGGAAACAATTCTTGAATGTTGTCAGTCTTGATTAAATTGTAACCCTGGTAAAATACTAGCCGCAACATACCACTCGGCTAGAGAGAACTTCTCTTTAGCTCGATTGGTTGAGCGTGAGACTAGTAAGCCAGGGGTCCCGGGTTCGATTCCTAGCGGAGGCAATGAGATGAAAAATGACCTCTGTTACATCTGACGCCCATGTAGGAACCAACGAGGACGACGAGAACTACAATGTTACAAAATTTAGATATGGGACAAGAAACTTTGGGTTTCTATCATCATTTAGTCTGAAGACCCACAAAATCTTCAAATATCTTCATGAAAAGTCTTTTGAGATCCTTTAAATGATTTAAATGAATTGATACACAATTGAACAGAAAAGGATTTGGCTTATAAGGAAATATGTGTAACCAGGATCTCCAAATTTTAGGCAAACAGTTTGACTCATTTCCTAGTTGTCTTTTTTTATAATGTCTCAAAACCTGAAGACATCTAAATTCCCTGAAACCTCCTTCTATTTAAATTTTGATTGCGAAATCTAGGCTGAATATATTAGAGAGCAGAACAATTTTTAAAACTCTTAGAGCTGCCAAACCAAATAGAAAATTAGGTGTACATCATAACTAGGATTCAAATTTGAAACTTGTAACTCTGCCACATTTCAAATGTTCTTAGGCTTTAATGCTAGAACTAGTCCAGTTCTACTGTATTTTGTTTTCCACTTAAACACTGAAGTAAAAAAAATGTATGCAAACCTTATAAGGATATTATATACAGTCATCTTGGCATAGAAATGGATAATGCAGTATGGCTGAACTGGGATCTGTGGAATATTAATTAAATGAAGAATTAGTGTCTTATACTTGTGATTGTCCACAGAAAATCAATATTGGACACGAAAAAAAATCCTTATATTCAGATATTTTCCTTAAGTTTTGTGACGATTTCTTAAAAGTTTTTAAGTTCAGGAATTATATTAAGTTCAGAGGTAAAAATCATGAAAATGGGGCCATAATTGTTGTCAGTTAATCAGCTAAGTAAATTTTGTCATATATAGGTAAAAACAGACTTCTAGTAGAACTTTACAACTGGCTGAAACGTAAATAATAAAACACACTGGGTAATCAGATTGAAGATCAAAGGGTTACTAGCTTACTTCATTTTCTGTAAGGCATTTTCCAAGACACCAGTCAAATCTGTTAAATGAGCTAACAGTAGAAACATTGGAAGATCTGTGCTTCTTGCTTGAACAGTTGGCACATTAGTGCTTAAATATATTGTGAAGATTTTGCTTTAGGATCTACGTCTCAGTCATCAATTT